AGGCAGCCAATAATGCTGTGTATACACTTGACGTCATAAGTCGGTTGGGTGCTGCTTGGAATGCCTTCTGCAGACCAAAAAGCAGGAGAGAAACCTTATCATCAAACATGGTGCCTCCCCCCTCAAGCAAACCAAGAAGGTTATTTGTCATCTCCATAGGAGCAGGTGCGTCGAATTTTAAATGTCCTGATACCACTAAAGCACCCAAGAGGTTGATAATACCTAGAACGATACCATCACTTTTGTCAACATTATACACATTATTCCGAGCATTTTCAGCATTTATCGAATAACTTATGCCACCCAAGTTTCTAAGAAAAGGATTCTCAGTGATGGACGACATCCTTTCCATGTTTGATTTAGAAGGAATTCTAAAATTCACAGATTCAGATGCATTCTCATATAAATTCAGATCCTTTCTCTCCAAAGAAAACCCATCATCATAACCAGGTTTTGCAGAAACTCCTTCAGAGGTATCTGCATCCAGTTTAGTCAATGTTAAAGACTCGTCGTGTTCAGGTAAGAACTCTGAGACATCAGTGTCTCCAGCTTTTGTTTCACGCTGCAACAGAACAAGAAGTGTTTCGATGCCACCACACGATATAAATGCCTCGGCAAAGGTTTTAGCCCTAGACATATTTGGCTGTACGACTAATCTGTAAATCAGGTGGAGCACCCTGGCAACCTGGAAAGAAAGTGGTAGCTATTTATGCCAAAACTCTGTAAGGACTAAATGATGCCAAACATTGTAAGATCAAACTGATATCAAGTACTCTGGAATGATGAAACATTTTATTAGTACTAAAAGATACCAAAGTGGCGTGTGTAAATTTAAGGTAAACATTACTCATTCATCAATAAACAATTTTATGTTTTCCCATAAGGCACTTTTTTGTTATTGGTCACATTACTTTAACGCATTAAATTTTCTTTAAAACTAAGAACAAGTACAGGAGAGATGAAATAAGCATACTGCAAAACAAAAATTGGAAAAAAGGAGCCACACTAATTCTACCTAAGACCATCAACTGCCACGTATGTTTAAGCTGATAAGTTTGCAATAAATGTTTCCTCAATCATTTCCACAAAACTGATATCTTTTCAGGAATGAACCCTTCATGTGTGATGGGATTCAGTTGGATCAAAAGGCAAGAATACAATTTCTTGGTACAAAAGAGAAGTAGTAACATAGCTAAAAGTTCAATAACCAAAAGTGACGCTGTAAGCTGATACTCCAAATTATATTAATCTTGTTACTTGTTTATAAGGTCTCTTCATATCCAGGATAAAATATCAGAGCCAAATAATTACAAATTTTAATTATTAACGCGAATTATATAAAAAGTGAAAAACCAACAAAAAAACATAAAAATAATAATGAATAATAATAATAATAAAACAGGAAAATATGCATTCCAATATGTTTGGATGCAAAGAAAATGTTTCTATACAAATATATCTCAATATTATTAGTGAATAAATTCTACTTAAATTGTAATGTCAAAATATGTTTACCATATCTTATCAAGGAAGAAAAATAAAATAGGTTGGTGTTATATTAGAAACCGTCGTCCACTGTGCACATGGACTATCGAGGGAGAAAAACAATTAAAACTACTCCTCACAAGATGCATTCCATATTAAAATAATTGCTTTTGTGTTCTAACTAACGAGGAACACCACTCAGTAAATAACCATGAATGTAGAAATAAAATTCACTACACATCCTGATTGCAACATTATTCACAATCGCTCATGTTCCATTTGTTGTTACCCATTACATGCAATTCAGTTAATTGTCAAAAACAATTAAAAATAGTAATAGTGGAGGAAACATCTGTTAGTGACACTTATCTGGAAAGTTCGTGTAAACTGATAAACAATTACATAGACATTTACCTGATTTGGTTGAGGGGAGTCAACCATGAACCCCAACAAACAACGGACATCGTCTGAAGCCAGAGAAGGTGGAGCTGCCAAGACTAAAAGTTCAACGACCACTAAAAGCTCATCCACCAATGCATTGACTTCACCCATTATACGGCCATTTCCACTTGCTGAACATGAATCAATTGAATCACTTTCACGGACAGTCCAATAGCACCGTCTGCAACCATCTAGAAGTGTCTGAATAGCATTAGCATCTCGCATCACTGACGACTCAGTGAACACCATATCTGCTAGTGACGAAAAAAACTTCTTTTGAAGGCCATAACTGCATAAACTCCAAATCTTGATATCAAATAACAATGTGCTGAAAAGCTGCACTTTAAGTGTATGGTTTAACTTCTGGGACTGACATATGGATACAATAGCAGCAACAAGTTCCTCGTCTCCATCACGCTTGGCAATGTCAAGGGAAGACAAAGTTTGGAGGAGATAATTCAATATTCGAGATAATATTTCAGGTCCTCTTCGCCGGCACAACTCTTCATTATTTCCAGGATGGCAAATGGCCAAAGAGATAATTCTGAATATGGGAGCAGCAAGTGACGTTAGGACCAAAGAAGGAGAAAGGTCAATTTGTCGTGGCTCCAAGCTATTCTCATGCACCTTGTTAACTACCAAAGGAAGCAAGAACAAGGGCCCTCCATGAGCCAAGGCCCACAAAGCTTCAGCAGGCCGCATTCTTGTAGCAACATGAACTTGACCAAGAACCTCTGCAGGCCTTCGAAGCATGCCTGAAAGGCACGAGCACACCATTCATTAGGAAATAACACATCAGATAATTCACGCAACTGAAAAAATAGAATATGATAATTTAAGAATTTGGCAAAGTGTAAGTTTAGACACATATTTTCTCTATTTCCATCAGAATAAGCACACAAACCTGGGTTCACATACAACTACAGATTCAGCAACAGTCAATTCAGTCTATGGAGAGACACCCATCACCAAAAAAAAGTAACTTATCCCACCATGCAAAAGAGACGCTCAATTTGCACAAGAAATAGACTAGGCTACATTTCATATAATGATATCAGCCCATGACAACCATTGGACTTCACAATCTTACATTCGCTGAACATAAAATCACAAGCAAGACAGTAACGCTCAAAAGGAACAGAATTTAAGACAATGGGGTATCTTACCACAATCAAAAAGGAAGCTTAAGTTTATACATTTCTCAAAATAGTGCTCTTAATACCTGTAGCGCCAGAAGGAGAAGCATCTGGACAGTAACGCCCACTCAACAAATTAGGATGGTAAAGAAGATGAATTAACCCAGCAATTTCAGAATCCAAAAGTGCACTATCTTGTGCCATGCTTTGGACATGGTCATTTGTTGCAATCCATGGTGATCCCAAACCATTGCCAAATGATGGCAGAACATCGCCTCCTCTTTTAGCTAACCGTGCCATCCTTTCTGGGCCAATAGGTTCTCTAAATATGTACACAGGTCCCATTTCAGCAAACAAAGGGCACTGGCGGCGCCGGCGTTGTAATCCAGCCATAGTTGGAGGAGGATTAGTGCCAATGCAGCAAAATGCGAGTGGCTTAGATATCCTTGGAAAATCAAATGGACGGCTTTCGTACAAGGAACCATCAACGTACAACCTCAACTCACTTTCTGTCTTTCCTAGGATACCCTGTCTGCAAGAATGTTCAAGGCCAATAAAATACCAACACTGTGGCTTGAACGCATGAGTAAAATGCAAAGATGACTTCCTTCCTTTCCCACTTCCACATTCAACAACTAAAAACTGAGCATGAAAATATGCTTCCATCCCCTGATTGTCAGCAGATAGAAAACTGAAAAGTCGAGGCATATGGGCCGTGCCTTCTCCAGCTAGAGCACTAGCAGCTGCAGCAGCTGACATGGGAGATGATCTTCCTGATGTGGCGGCAGCAGCCATTGCAATAGCAGCAGCAGTTGTTGCTGTGCTTATATTGTCCGCGAATGATTCGATGTAGATCCAAGTTGCAAATGCATATCCATTAGTAAAAGGCCATTTACTCTCCCCGGGGCCTAACAAACCAGAACTCTCTCCATCAAACTCAAAAGTACTTGCTGGACCCCTGACCTCTTTCCCACCCATGGCTTTCTCCAAAGAGCGCAATAAACGGGCTGCCCATTGCGTGGTGAGAGTTTTGTTAATGACTTTAAGCCAGAAGTGCAGATCCGATGGACTAAGAGAATGACCTGCTAAGTACTGAATGCAATAACACAAAGGAGTTCCATCCCACATGCTCTTTTCTCCTGAACCAACATTCTCAACAAAAATCCTCTCGGAAGTGCGGAGAAGTACTCCCAATAAACCAGCCACAGAGCACATCGCTCTGTTCCTAGTGCAAGCGCGCAAAATAGCTAGCAGCCCTCTCACCATCCGAGTCCTAGGAGACATAAAACCTTCAAAATCCCCAATGTCCGGAAGCCAAGGAACCAACTCACCGGCCACTATAGCAGCCCTGGAGTTCAGCATCACACTGGGTGGATTATCATCCCCGTCCTCTTCAAAAGATTCGACACCTCCCATGGTGGCAAGAAGTGAGTCAACGACTAAGTAAGCCATAGCCACAGCCTCTTCGTCTCCTCCAAAACTCTCAACGCCACAAACTACATTCTTCAGCTTCTCCAAGCTTTCAGCCTTCCCCATTATAGCTGAATCTACTAAATGAAGAAGCTCCGGAGACACATTAGGCATAACCTGTTTAGCCTTCAGTTTCGGTGGTGAATCAACAGGAGAGTATCCTGCATCTCCATGCAAATGCAAAGCAGAATCAAGACTAGCTGAAGATAAAGACTCTCTAGCATCATAATTTGAGTCTCTCTCAGGCCCAGGGCTCGAATAATGGCGATCATTATGCATACCTAGTTCTGGGGGAGAATCAAACCCTGATGATCTAACACCAGGGAAGGAAAACTCAAATGTATCGTCACTTCCAACTCCTGAGTCTCTCAACTCATCCGGACTCAAAGACTGCTCGCAACTTTTATCCCGATCTTTCAGTGGAACATGTTCAAAAAGTTCATCATCATTAACTGTAGCAACTGAACCAACTTCTTCTATACTTACATTACTATTCACAGTATCTATGCAAGGAATATGTGTCTTCATATTTTCAGCTTCAGATATTCTTGTATTATCATCTATACCAGTATCTTCTTCTTGCCTTTCGTAGCTCTTTTCAGAAATTTTTTTATGAACGCTCATTTGTTCTTCTTCTTCTTCCATTTTCCAACAAAAGATATTTTATCTTAGAGATCCTGCATCCAAATTTCTTCCAGTTTTAGCTAAATATATCATCAGACATATAATGTCAACAACACTATGAATACATCAATAGAGAATCAGCAACAATTATAATACAAACATATACTTATATTATGTAAATGTCAACAATACAAAATGAAAACGTAAACAGAGAATCAGCAACCAGACTAGTACAAATATGTACATTTATGTTATGTATGTATGTGCGGGAAAACAAATAAAAGATCGCCAACGCGGAAAGTAACTTCCTAATGTACCAATATTACTGTGCAGGCCATTTATAAGCTAAAGTGGAACAGCTCCATCACCATAACCAACCCAAATTATCGTGAAGAAAGTGCAGCAAACGTGAGCTCACAATCTAAAATTAATCTAAGACGAAAATGCAGCAAACGTATCATCAAAAATAGGAAACTGGAATATCAACTTGCGAAGTTACGATAGATCTAAGCTTGCCTCAAGCAACACAGCACTGTTAATTCCCTTGAGGAAGGATAAAAGTGCAGATCACATTTCGCCAGGTGATAAATCAAAAAAATATATCACACAAAAAAAAAAAAAAAAAAA